GCATAGGACCGACCCAGACCCCTTGAATGTGGGTGTCAGTTTGGAGGACTGGACAATCTTTGGGCCCCCTGGTAGTGGATCAGTATTTATCCCTAGTGTACAAACGGACTTTGGGAGCCCATTCCCTATGGAGGAATACTCTGTCAGCCTAGATATGAGGGGGATGGCCTAGGTCCTGCCCCAAATGATGTGGCAGAGTTTGATTATTCCCCCAAGGGAGGCCTCACCCTCCCTGAGTGGATGGGGGTGTTAGGTGGGGAGCATGGGAGGATGGATGGGAGGGAAAGGTAACTGGGATTGGTATGTAAAATAATATTGTCTTTAATAAAATTGTTTAAATAAAAATTTAAAAACTTTGAGGAGGCCTAGGTAATCTATTGAGCCTTGGGCAGCAGATCAGTACCCATCCCGAGTATACACACGGACTTTGGACTCCCATCAAACAATGTGAGGTGCACTCTCACCCTGAACTCTTGGGGAAGGGTCTAGGCCCTGCCCTATATGAAATGACAGACTATGGACACCCCCATGGAGGTCCTCACCCTCCCTGGAGGGAATGAAGGGATAATGGGGAGGGTTGGGGGGAGGGCACGGGAGGAGGGGAGGGAAAGGGAGAGGGACCTGGATCTGACTTGTGAAGTAACCTTGTTTCTTATCTAAATTTAAACTGAAAAATAAATAAAAAAAAAAGAAAAAAATTTAAAAACTTAAAAATTCAAATATATGAAAGATAGTAATAGTTCTTTAGCAAAAAGAGGAAATATGATCAATAACCAGGAAAAGATGATCAGTTGTGGATGATAACTAGGATGCTGAGTCTATATTAATATATATTATATCATATATAGGTGGTATTATAGCAAGTAGATGAGGGTATGGATCAATAGAATCTTTCATTCATTGCAAAAGAGCATAAATTGTATCACCTTTTAGAAAATGGTTTGACTGAACCCTGTGAGGCTAAACTTTCATATATCTTTTTAGCCAGCAACTCCATTCCATACCTTATACCTAGGTATATGGGAATCTGTATATAGGAAGCAGAGACATGGACAAGAACATTAAGTAGTGTTGTTCATAGGAGAAAAAAAGCTGGAAAGGACCCAAATGTCTATCAAGAGAAACATGGATTATTTGTTTTATCACCTGAAATGTTACACATCATTGATAATGAACTACAACCAAATGAAGCAAAAGATGCGACTCTGAAATGAGATACAGACTTTGAACTTTCTTGTTTGTTTGTTTTTTCAAGATGTGATTTCTCTGTGTAAAAGCCCTGGCTTTCCTGGAACTTGCTTTGTAGATCATGCTGGCATTGAACTCACACAGATCCACCTGCCTCTGCCTCCTCTGCGCTGGTATTAAAGGCTTGCACCACTATCACCTGGCTAGACTTTGAACTTTTTAATGGTGTTGAAACTGTTAAAGACAATAGGGACTTTGAATACATTTTGCACTGTGAGATGTCCACAACACTTTAGGGATAGGGGGTGAAAAAGTCATTTGAAAGTGATAATGTTTGGGTGTCAAGTTGACGAGGGATGGACTTGTGATGATTAATTGTCAACTTGACAGGATGAGGAGTCACCGAAGAGACAAGTCTGGACAAATCTGTTCAGGATTAGCTAGATTAAGATAACTGAGGTGAGAAGACTCACCCTAAATGTGGGTGGTAGTATGGTAATGGGCTAAGTCCTGAACTAAATAAATCCAAACTCTTGTTGCCATGATTGTCCTGGTCAACTTGATATAAACTAGAGACATCTGGGAAGAGGGAATCTCAATTGAGAAAAAACCTCCATAAAATGTGGCTATAGGCAAGTCTGTAGGGCTTTTGGTTTTTCGAGACAGGGTTTTTCTGTGTAGCTTTGGAGCCTGTCCTGGAACTAGCTCTTATACACCAGGCTGGTCTCGAACTCACAGAGATCTGCCTGCCTCTGCCTCCAGAGTGCTGGGATTAAAGGCGTGCGCCACCACCGCCGGCTTGTAGGGCATTTTCTTAACTAATGATTGATGTGTGTGTGTGTGTGGGGGGGGCAGCGGCAGGCAGTACTACTTCTGGGAAGTTGGTCCTGAGTTGTATAGAAGAAAGTAGTTTGTTGATCTCTTCATTGCGTCTAGTGTTTTCTGTAATGGTCTCTGTGTGGTAAAAGAGAAGTTTCTTTGACAAGGGATGAGAGCTACACTTACTTCTCTGTGGGTAAAAGGATAACTATTTAGAATGCAGTAGGAATTATGTGGTCTAGTAAAGTGGTGGTAGGCAGTTCTTCTCTAAGATCCATGACCTCACTAATCCTAGGAAGTTGGCTAGGTTTCTAGTACCAGTTGCGATTTTTCTCCTGTTGAGGGGGTCTTAAGTCCAATTAGACAGCTGCTGTCTAATTACCACCAAGATACGAACACCACTATTGCTCCTTTAGAGCTATCTTACCATTGTGGTCAGTTTTGTGGTTCACAGGCACCACAACTGGATAGATTGATTGCTTCCCTCCCTTGGCAGTTTACATAGTACTTTCTGGTACTATGGAAGCCAGACCTCAAGAATGAGGCTTTCAGGTTAGATCCAACTCAAATAATCCAAGTCCTGTCTCTAAGAGTGTGATTTCTTCAGCAGTATGGACTTATCTTCAACCTCTAAGAGGCAACCAAGGGCAAGAGTCATTTGGACTACCCTGACCAACAACTGGAACCGAGGATTCTCATGCCTAGTACTGGGGTTTTGTTAGGTAATCTATGACTCTTGTGGGGATCAGTGCCAGTCAAAGTGGCAGAACTTGTTTAGGAATATATATATATATATATACACATATATATAGATATATATGTGTATGTATATATATATATATTTCTCTCTTCCATCTATCTTTATTGATCTTCCTCCCTCTCCCCAATTAGAGGGCCCCCTCCCCATTTCCCATGTCATTTCACCTATACCCTGCTATTACCCACATAGCCTCCTTAACCCCAAGGTTTCTTTAGAGTTTCTCAGTTTCTCTGCTTATTCCATATCATAAAGTCATATCTAAAGACTTGGATCTAGGAATGGTAGAAAAGAGAGAACACGTGGCATTTATGTTTGTGGGTCTGGGCTACCTCACTCAGTATAATCTTTTCAAATTCCATCAATTTACCTGAAAATTTCATTTTTCTGGACACAATGTAGAGATCAAGGGATCATAGGGAACCCAGTCACAAGGAATACATCCTCAACACAACTTCTGCAACTAAGGTTCAGGCAACATTGCAGAAGAGGAGGCAAAAAGATTGCAAGAGTCAAAAGATCAGTTAAGTCTGCTGTGAGACTTTGTCTCTTAAAATGGTTGTCTAGCAGGGTAGTGGTATCGAACACCTTTAACCCCAGCACTTGGGAGGCAGAGGCAGGCGGATCTCTGCAAGTTCAAGGCCACTCTGGTCTACAGAGCTAGTTCCAGGACAGCCAGGGCTGTTACACAGAGAAACCATCTCAAAAATCAAAAACAGAGAAAATGGCTGTCTAAACAAGACCTGAACAATGACAATATTAACAGACATGCCAACAGGAAAGGGGGTAAAACCTCATAGTCTCACTCCTGGATAAAGAACTACAAGGGACTAATGACTGCTGATAGAGGGAAAATATAGCCTCTCCCGGGGATGAGGCCCCTATCTGGCAAAGTAATACAAAGTGGTCAGTCCTGATATCATGTGTACACACATAGACACATAGGAAAACAAACTCAGGGGGTTGAATGTAACCTATTTGTACATGTGTGTATATAATAATAATACAGAAAAAGAGGCCATCAATTTGCGGGGGAGTTGGAGTGAGGAAAAGTCAGGATTGCAGGGGGGAAAGGAAAAGGAAGAGGAAAATGTAATTACATTTTAATTAAAATATATTAAAATTTAAAAGTTAGAAAAGGAAAAGAAAAGCAGGCTGAGGAAGCTATGGAGGACATGCCATTAAGCAGCGCTCCTCCACGGCTTCTGCTTTGATTTCTTCTTCCAGCGTCCCAACTTCCCTTCATGATAAACTGGAAGTGGTAATATGAAATAAACCCTTTCCTCCCCAAGTTGTTTTTGGTCATGGTGTTGACCACAGCAATAGAAAGTAAACTAAGACAAAGATAGGCTCTACTCAAACTGCATGTCAAAATGAGCCTTTCCTTCCTTAAGCTGCATTGTCAGGTATTTCGTCATAGCAAGGAGACAAGTAACTACAGATCATCAAGCTAGACTTGGGTGGAATAATTTCTTTAGTCCATTGACAGTGTCCTACTGGGGATGAAGAAACATTTGTTCATGTCTCTCCAAGAAAAAGGTCACACAAGTATGATACTATTTTTCAGAAGCTTACAACCAAGTCAAATAAGCAATGTATTGGTTAAACAGTCCCACAGATTCGAAAAAAAGTCCACATGTCCAAACAGCAGGTTAATGTGAAACACAAATTTAGGGGTGGCAACCTGTTTTTTTTTTGTTGGTTTGTGTGTTTCTGTTTCTAATGGCATGCCCCATCGACACCCAGCTTAATGATTTCTGTTTTTATTTTATGTACATTGGTGTTTCGCCTGCATGTATGTCTGTGTGATGGTGTCAGAACCCCTGGAACTGGAGTTACAGGCAGTTGTGAGCTGCTGTGTGGGTGCTGGGAATTGAACCAGGACCTCTGGAAGAACAGTCAGTGCTCTTAACCTCTGAGCCATCTCTCCAGCCCCAGTGGCAACCTGTTTTTAAGAGAGGGTCTCACTATGTAGCCCTGGTTAGCTTGAAACTCATAGAGATCCACCCATCTTTGCCTCTCCAGTGCTGGGATTAAAGGCAAGTACCACCATGCCTGGCTACAGTGGTGATTTTGATGGGGCAGACAGGCAAGGACATGCTGTCATTAATGTCACTCTTGTATGGAGTGGTAGATTCTTGAGTTTTCAATAAATTACCTTTATAGCCGTATGTATAATATAGATTCTTTTTTTATTTGTTGAATATAATTTTAAATGTATTTTAAAAAGATTTACCTTTGGGGCTAGAGAGCTGTCTCAGCAGTTAAGAGTTCATACTGTTCTTCCAGAGGACCCCAGTTCAGTTTCCAGCAACCTTGCTTGGTTCACAATTGCCTGTAATTCCAGCTCCAGGGGATCCAACCAATGCCTTCTTCTGGCTTCCACAAGCTCTGTAACCAGAAGCACAAAACCACACTCAGAAACACACATACACACATAAGTAAATAAATAGATAGATAGATATTTATCTTTAGTTTTATTTATGTGTATGTGTGCAGGTCTGGAAGTGTATGCCCTGTGTGTACAGAGGCCAGAAGAGGGAATGCGACTCTGTCCTGGTGAGTTTTCTGTCAACTTTACACAAGTTAGAGTCATTGAGAGAACCTCAAAAGAGAAAATGTTTCCACCAGATTGGCCTGTGGGGGAATTTTCTTGACTAATGATTGATGTGGGAGGGCCCAGCTCACTGTGGGTGCTATCATCTTAGGACTGGTGGGCCTGAGTGATATAAGAAAATAGGCTGAACCAGCAGGTGGTGGTGCACACCTTTAATCCCAGCACTCGGGAGGTAGAGGCAGGTGGATCTGCATGAGTTCAAGGCCAGCCTGGTCTACAGAGCGAGTTCCAGGACAGCCAGAGCTACAAAGAGAAATTCTATCTTGAAAAACCAGAAATCAAAACAAAACAAGTCTTAACCTAATATGACTAATCCCTTTCTGAAGAAAATTAGAGGTGAATGTTGTGGCTCACTTCTATAATCCCAATATTTGGGAGGTTGATTCAGTAAGTTTAGGAGTTCAAGGATGACCTGGGTTACATGAGAACCTGTTCTCAAAAAAATAAAAAATAAAAAACATAAAACAAAGAAGATGTAAGAGAAAAAATTCACTCATAAATGGAAATTCATTAGAACAACATCAAACCACTCATCAACTCTAAAAGGCAAGGAAGTACAGAATATTGTATATATTTCAGGCTGTGAAAGGAAGTAACTACCAACCCATTACAGCTATCTTTTAAAATTGAAATAGAAAGGAGGTTATTTCAATACAAACGCAAGCAAAAGTAATTCACAACCACTGTGCCAGAACTTGCAGGAGACGCTGAAAGAATCTTAAACACAGAGGAGGAAGAAATACAGCCAAGTATGAAAGTACAGCAGAGAATAAATTTCCTGAGAACAAAGAACTAGAAAAGAATCCTATGCCCAATACAGCAACCAGGAAGCCCCCAAAAACAAGCAGGAAAATAGAAAAGAATAAAGAATAATACAAGCAGCCAGAAGAAAAAACCCAACAAAATGATAAGAATTATAAAATAACCTTAAATAGAAATTATCTTAGCTTTCCAGTTAAAAGCAGAGAATTAGCTGACTGAATTAAAATCAAAATAAAACAAAAAACCAAAACTACCCTCACCCCAAGATCCAAGTATCTGATGTCACTTGCAAAGACACTCACAGACTGAGAGCTAAAGCAAGAAAGTCAATTTGCTAAGCAAGTGGAAGCTGAAAAAAAGCTGGCATAGCAACTATAAATTTGGTAAAGTATATTTCAAATCAAAATTAGAAAAATAAAGAAGGCCACTGCTTATTAATAAAAGGAACAATTCAACAAGAAAATTGTCTTAGTCACAGTTCTATTGCTGTGAAGAGACATCATGACCAAGGCAACTCTAATAAAGAAAGCATTTAATTGGGGCTTCTTTACAGATTCAGAGGTTTAGTCCATTATCAGCATGGTGGGAGCAGTAGCTGAGAGCTACATCCTGATTCACAGGCAGCAGGCAGAGAGAGGTAGACTGGGCCTGGTGTAGGCTTTTGAAAAACCTAAGGACCTCCAACAAGACCATATATCCTAATCCTTTCCAAAGAGTTCCACCAACTTGAGAACAAGCATTCAAACATATGAACCTAAGGGGGCCATTCTTATTCAAAGCACCACAAAGATATAAAAATGGTAAATATTTGAACATATGATCTATATAGCAAGTTCTAGTTCAGTGAGAGCTACACAGAGGGACCCTGTCTTAAAAACAAACAAGAGATTAAATACTCTCAAACCACAATTATATTCCACCACCCCGAAACTCTAGAACAAATGGATAAATTGCTAGACATATGATATGAAAATGAAATCAATGTTATACAAGATAAACAGATCCATAATAACTTACAAAGTTGAAGCAGTAACAAAGTGTCTCCCAACAAAGAAACTCCAAACTGGATGTATTCACTGGTGAATTCTACCCAACGTTCAAAGAACAGTAACACTAATGCCCCCAAAACTGTTCTCATAAACTATAAAGGGAGTGGACACTACTAAACTCATTTTTATGATGTCCATATTACTCTGATACTCAAACTGGATAAGGACACAATAAAAACAGAAAACTAAAGATCAATATCCTTGATGAACACAGACACAAAAATTCTCAAGAACAAAAAGCCTCTAAACAAAGCAAGCCCACCAAAATGGTGCTCCTACATCTAAGGCTCAGGGGTCATTCTGGAAGAGGGGGCAGAGGAGCAGCAAGTTTGCTCTAAGATTGTACATACATGCACGCATGAATGCACACACACACACACACACACACACACACACACACACGACAGGTGAGCTGCACCCATGAAATCTCAACAGTATGGTCGCCTAAACAAGACCCAGAAAATGACAATATCAGTTGATGTGCCAACGTGAAAGGGGGAAATCTCACAATGCCCCTGTCCCACCATCATGACAGGCAATTAATTGCCGAGAGAAAGAATCAGTCTTCTCCAGAAATGAAGGCCCTAATTGATTATCTTTTACCTTTTGGTATTTTTAAATTTTCCAAAAAGATTTTATTTTAGGGTTTGGAGAGATAACTTAGCAGTTAAGAAGAGGTACTGCATGGGATGTGATGATGCATGCCTTTGATCTCAGCAAGAGGCAGAGGGCAGAGGGCAGAGGCAGAGGCAGAGGACCTATGAGGCGGATGACAGTCAGTTAAACCAGTCCTTTCTAAAGTCATACAGGTTGTATTTATATAGTCATACATACATATGTGTAAGAATAATACTTAAAGAAAAAGGGGCCAAGAATTTAAGAGGGAGTGGGTGTTATAAACAGAGTCAGAGGGGGATGATACAAGTATAGTATTCATATACAAAATTCTCAAAAATAAATGGAAATCACTAAAAAATAACTGCAAAGTGAATTCAAGAACATATAAAGAATATATATCATAGCCAAACTGGTTTTATTCCAGCAATGCAAAGATGATTCAACACATAAAAACCAGTAAGTGTAATACATCACACTAATACGTTAAAGAAAAGTCACAGGAACATTTTGATAGACACAGAAAATGCCTTTGACAAAGTTGAGTACCCCTTTCTAATAAAAACACTACCGACTCTCAGGAGCTAGAGTCAGGCAGATTTCTATATATTTGAGGACAGCTGGGTTTTAATCCTAGCACTCAGGAGGCAGAGCCAGGTGGGATCTCTGTGAGTTCCAGGCCAGCCTGGTCTACAGAGTCAGTGCCAGGGCAGCCAGGGCTACATTGTGAGAACCTGTTTGACAAAAACAAAAACAAAAACCCAAACCAAACCAAAACAACACAAATACCAATACAATTCCAGCCTTTAAAAAAAGCCAGGTGGCAATCTAAGCAATAGTGGAGAGGCTACCTTAAATGCCCTTCCCTGATAATGAGATTGATGACTACCTTATATGTCATCCTAGAACCTTCATCCAGTAGCTGATGGAAGCAGAGGCAAACACTCACAGCTAGACACTGAACTGAACTCCTGGAATCCAGTTGCAGAGAGGGAGGAGTGATGAGCAAAGGGGTCAAGAACGGGCAGGTGAAACCCACAGAAACAGCTGATCTGAACAAGGGGGGAGCTCATAGACCCCAGACTGATGGCTGAGAGGCCAGCATGGGACTGATCCAGACCCCCTGAATATGGGTGTCAGTGAGGAGGCCTCAGCAAGCTTTGTGGCCTCGAGTAGTAGATCAGTATTTATCCCTGGGAGCCCATTCCACATCGAGGGATGCTCTCTCAGCCTGGACACATGGGGGAGGGCCTAGGCCCTGCCCCGGATGACATGACAGACCTTGGAGATCCCCCATGGATGGCCTCACCCTCCTTGGAGAGTCAAGTGGGGATTGAATAGGAGGTTGGGGAGGTTGGCAGGGAGCGGGGGAGGAGGGGAGGGAGAGGGATCTGGGATTGATATTTGAAGCAAGCTTGTTTCTAATTTAAATACATAAAAATAAGAATAGTGGAAAAAAATAAAACAGAAAAAAAAAGCCAGGTGGTGGTGCATGCCTTTAATCCCAGCACTCAGGAGGTAGAGGCAGGTGGATCTCTGTGAATTCAAGGCCAGCCTGGTCTACTGTAGAGTGTTGTCTTCCCGCCAGCCGGGTCTCAGAGGCGCATCAGTCCCAAATGAACACACAAGGGGCTATATTAATTATGAAGCTGTAGGCCATTTGCTTGGTTTTTTACTGGCTATCTCTGACACTTAAATATTTAACTCATAATTGCTAATCTAAGTATTTATCTTACCGGAGAAAAGGGTCCGGACCTCTTATTCCTATGGCGGCTACATCATGACTGCCTGTGTCTCTCTTTCCCAGAATCCTCCTCAACTCCTAGTCCCACCTATCTTGCTTCCCTATTGGCCAACAGTGCTTTATTGACATATACACAGGACTTCCCCATCATCTCCTCTTTTCTGTCTAAACAAAAAGAAAGATTTTAACTTTAACATAGTTAAGTTATACATAACAGAACAGTTATCAAGTAAGAACATAGTCACAATATGTTCATTAATATTTAGTAAGATTTAAAGAAAGTATTTTATTATCTATCCTATCTGTGTGAGTCTAAAGTCTTATATGTAGCTTATCTTTTATCAAAACTAAGTAAAACTATTATTATTATAACTATCTGTCTTTAACTCCATCAAAGACGGCGGAAGGATAATATATAAACACTAGAATTGACAGAAACATCTCACTACCTGGACAGTCACCCAAAGTTCCTCTGTAACGTTTGGGCATCCAACTTCATCCCATAGACCAC